TACTGGCCAGGAATACAGAACGATGTGAGAGATTATGGCAGGTCTTGTGCGGTGTGTCAGGGGAGGAAAACACCCGTAGGACCCCAGAGGGCTCCCCTGCGTCCCTTACCTGTCATACATTCCTGAGGGTGGCAATGGACATTGTGGGGCCAATGCCGCACCCCGCTGGGAGGGGGAACAAGTATATCTTAGTGGTGGTGGATTTTGCCACTAGATACCCTGAGGCGGCTGCTCTGTCCAGTATAGAAGCTGAGACAGCGGCAAGAGCCCTGCTCACCATATTCAGCAGAGTTGGCTCCCTAAGGAGGTTTTGTCAGATCGGGGGGCAGCTTTATGTCGCAGTTGTTCAACGAGCTATGGAAGGTGTGTGGCATGAAACAAGTTAAGATTTCCCCTATCGCCCCAGCCAATGGGTTGGTGGAAAGGTTCAATGGGACCCTAAAATCCATGCTGGGAATGTATGCCAAGAAAAGAGTCCAAAGTTGGGACGAGTTATTGCCATTCCTGCTGTATGCTTACAGGGAGGTATCCCAAGAGTCCATGGGATTTTCTCTGTTTGACCTGTATGGAAGAAAAGTGAGGGGACCCCTGGATCTCATTAAAGACACATGGGAAGGGTGCAATGAGGTGAGGGAAGAACCAGTAACTGAGTATGTTGAAAGGTTCAGGAGGGAGTTAAAGGACATGATGGAAGTTGTCCAAAACAACCTCCAAGACAGTCAGGCCAAACAAAAGGCATAGTATGATAAAAATACTTGTAAATGCACTTTGACATGGGAGACTTGGTGATGGTACTCAACCCTGCGAAAAGGTTCAAAATGCAAAACCCCTGGGAGGGGCCTTTCGAGGTGGTAGAAGTGGCAAATGAGGACACGTATCAAGTTAAAAAGCCCCTCGATGATACTGGTCCCCAACTAGTACATGTGAACTGGCTCAAAGCCTATCACAGTAGAGGGGCCAGAGTAAACATGATCTGTTGTGTTGAAGGGGAAACTGAGGCACACTCACTCATTGATTTGATGGCTGAATGCCAAGATGGGTCAGCTCTGGAAAATATGGAAATCTGTAATGAATTAACCCCAGTCGAAGTGGGGGAGGTGTTGTCAGTGCTGCAAGGGCACAGCGCAGTTTTGATTTAACTAGAGGTTACTGGCAAATCCCTCTGGAAGAAGAGACACAACAAAAGTCTGCTTTTATCACTGACATAGGGCTCTATGAATTCACGCTGTTACCTTCTGGTTTGGTAAATGCTGGTGCAACATTCCAGAAATTGGTCAACAAAGTGTTAAATGGTTTTCAGAACTATGCCAGGGCGTACATAGATGACATTGCCGTATTCAGCAACACCTGGGACAACCACCAGGAGCACCTGGGGGTTGTGCTATCAAAGCTCAAGGGAGCTGGTCTAACCATAAAACCATCTAAGTGCAAGATAGAGGCAGTCAAAGTCCCCTACCTAGGACACTGGGTTGGGGTTGGGGGGCAAATATTCCCCGACCCTCTTAAGGTGGAAGCCATTGTCAAGTGGCCTGTGTCCAATCCTTAATAGGCGTGGTGAACTATTACAGGAGGTTTTGGGGGGGGGGGGGTTCAGCGACATTGTGGCCCCAATCACAGACTTATGTGAAAAGCACCAACCTACTCAGGTGATTTGGTCAGAGGTGCGCCAGAAGGGGTTTGATGAGGTAAAGATGCTCTTGTCTGCAGAGCCTGTGTTGGCCAGCCCAGACTTTGATAAGACTTTTGAATTGTGCACCGATGCATCTGACACTGGCTTGGGTGCTGTGCTGATGCAAACAGGGGAGGACAGCAAGAAGCATCCCATTGCCTTCCTAAGCAAAAAGCTGTCCCTTGCTGAACAGAATGACTCTGTCATAGAGAAGGAGTGCTATGCCATAGTGTGGGCTGTTAAACAACGGAGGCCTTATCTCTTTAATAGGAGGTTCAAGATTCTAACCGACCAATCGCCCTTAATATGGCTGAACAGAACCAAGGGCACAAACACCAAAGTGCTACGCTGGAGCCCAATCCTGCAGGAATTTGACATGGAGATTGTGCACATTAAAGGGAAGGAGAACATGGTACCAGATGCCCTGTCTAGAAAAGAGGAAGCTGGGCACACTGCATCTGCATTGGTCAGTGACCAGGCCTCTGGCAGTGCCTTCACAGATGTTACTGAGCATGCTCAGTTTGTGTGAGCATGTTCAGTGCACCCTAGGTAACAAATTCCTACATGTAGCAGTTTTTCATACTATAATTTATCAGCATCCTTCTTGAACTGCGGACCCCAGAACTGGACACAGGATTCCAGCTGTGGCTGCACCAGTGCCAAATGCAGAGGTAAAATAACCTCTCTGCTCCTTCTCGAGATTCTCCTGTTTATGTATCCCAGGATCACATTAGCCCTTTTGGCCACAGCATCAAGCTGGGAGCTCACGTTCAGCTGATTATCCACCATGATCTCCAAGGCTAGGTCTTGGGATCAATTCATTGCGTTTCATCTGGACGTGATAAATCGATCCCAGAAGCGCTCCCCCGTCGACTGCGGAACTCCTGCTCGCCGAGAGGAGGAAGCGCTGTCGACGGGGGAGCTTGCCTGCGCCGCGTGGACCCGCAGTAAGTAAACTTAGTTCGATCTAGGAAACGTCGACTTCAGCTACGCTATTCTCGTAGCTGAAGTTGCATTTCCTAGATCGATCCCCCGCCCCAGTGTGGACCAAGCCCAAGTCTCTTTCAGAGTCACTGCTTCCCAGGAAGGAGTCCCCCATCCTGTAAGTCTGGCCTGTGTTCTTTGTTCCTACCGTAGATCTATACATTTACATGCAGCTAGATTAAAACGTCTGTTGTTTGCTTGCGCCAAGGTGACTCAGCGATCCAGTTCGCTCTGTAGCAGTGACCTGTCCTCTTCATTATTTCCCACTCCCCCGATTTGTGTCATCTGCAGACTTTATCACTGATGATTTTATGTTTTCTTCCAGGTCATTGATAAAAATGTTAAATAGTGTCGGGCCAAAAACCAGTCCCTGTGGAGTCCCACTAGAAACCCACCCATTTGATGAAGATTCCCCAGTTACAGTTACATTTTGAGAGCAGCAGTGTTGTTGTAGCTGGATCGGTCCCAGGAGATCAGAGACAAGGTGGGTGAGGTAATATCTTTTATTGGACCGACTTCTTATTGAGACCTCTCAGTTAGCCATGGTTCATTGTTCTGATTCAGGCTAAAGGGGCGAGTTTGGCTACAAAGCCCAGCCCGAGGCTGTGTTCTCAGTGTTGGGCAGGATTGCACAGACTGTAGAGAGGTGGATTTTGGTTCTCACTTGCCCGTCTCTCTCTGACTGCGATGGCAAGGTGGGAGCTCTGCCCACCTGCAGAACGGTGCCTGCTCAGTCAGGCGACTCATCAGGACTCCTGACTGTAGGAGAGGGGGACCAGTGTGAGGCAGAATGACTAGCTCACCCTTGATCGCCCTTGTCTCCTCTCCCTGGCAGCGTGTGTCAGAGGTGAGGGAAGGAGAGGAACAGATTAGCAGGGCAACATAGACTGCTCGAGTGAGCATTGTGGGGGAGCAGGGGGAAGACTAGCTGAGTGGGAGGGTTGACAGGCCAGTGGAGATAATGATGTCGCACACACCAGCGCTAGTGTGTTGTGGAGCTCAGACTGTTTCTCTTTCCACAAAACACGCTTGGTTTCTGGGCTGCGGAATCCCCAGCACCACAGGACTCCCCCAAACTTCAGTTGTATCGATTCCAGTGAGCACAAAATGACAAGGACCGACTGCACGAGATGCTGCAAGACTTTATTGGCACAAACACAGCCCCAAGCAGAGGGGAATCCCAGCTGCTCCCCCAACAAGAGTGAGCAAGACAGAAACTTCTAACCTTTACCAGCCCTTTCCTGCTCAGCCTAGAGAGAGCAGCTCTGGCTCCACAGCCATCCTGTTGGATACATGTGGCCTCTCTTCTTTCTTATCTGGTGATGCAGATAGTTGGATTTATCAGAATGGAAATGCAGGGGAAGAGGGCTGGATATGCAGAGCTTCTGGCACCGAACTCAGGACAGCGTGTGTGTAATAACTTGGCCCTGGTTGCTTATTCTGAACTGATCATGCCGGGACCTTCTGAAGTGGAGAGGCTGAAATCAGGCTAACTGAGGGAGAACCTTGTAACAGGCAGTTGGTGACGGTGAAGTTTGCAGAAAGGCAGAGAAAATTACCTAGTTACTTAAATTATGTTTTTCTTTCTGATTCTCTTGGAAGTTCTTCCTATGCCCTAGCTCAGTTTTGTGTGTTGCTAATGCAATGGGCTCCGTTAGAGTCATAACTATAAAGTCCAGAAGGGGGCAATTATGACCATCTAGTCTGATTGCCTACAGAACACAGGCCACAGATGTCATGCAGTGACGTTTGCATCACACCCAACAGCATGCAGTTGATACAGAGTATATCAGAGCATTTACACAGACATCCAGTCTTGATTGAAAGACTCCAAGGGATGGAGAATTTACCACATCCCTTGTGGATCTGTTCGTATGGTTGACTTCCCTCATAGCTAAAAACACTGCCCTTTGTTTTCAGCTTGGACCTTGCTCTGTTCAGTTTCCAGCCACTGAATTTTATCAGAGGAGAAGTATGTGCGTCCGGGGGCGGGGGCAGCAGAGGCAGCGAAGGAGCAGGTAATGATGAACCTTCGTGGCTCTATTTTGTGGGACTCGATTTTACCCTTGGAACAAAAGCTTCATACCACTGGCTGGAGAAGGAATGTAGAAAACCTGGACAAGGCAGTGGAGCAGGGCTTAATTTGTAATGAAAGAGGTGCTGCGGCTCAAGCAATTTGTTACTTTCATAACTGACATGGCAATCCCAGAGGTGCCGGGGCTATGAACTGCCAACCCCAGAGGTGCCAGGGCTCAGCCCAGGCTGGTACAAATTAAGCACTGCGGGAGAGAGAGAGATTAAATGGACACTGTTAATCACTGTGAGGCTGAGATGGCAGGAGTCTCATTTAGATCCGGCATTTCACAATCTTGTCCTGGTCAGTGATAAGCCACACCTGGCCCACGGCATAGGACACATGTTTGCAGTTGCAGATGAAACCGGCCATTTGGGTCCAGGTGGTGCCGACGGGGTTGCTTTTAGTGATTCCATCCCTGAAAGGAAGTTGACAGGACTGGTGTTAATACAGGTCTGCTAAGAGAAGGACTCCGCCTCTATCCCAGCCTGTGGAGAGCAGCTTCTCAGTGCAGCCCAGAGGGTAGCCCTAGCACATGTTTCTCCTTGCTGTCCACTCACGGCCCTGCATTGCAGCACCCATCCTCCTACACGAGTGTCTGGCTAGACCCTATTAAGATGGCAGGATCAGAGCATTGCAAGCTTCATCTCCCTGCGGTGTGGGCTGAGGGCAGAAGGGCAGGGAACATCTTCTCCAGGGAAACATTCCTGCTTGAAAACTACATGGGGCCTTTCCTCTGTCTTGGCAGGTGACATGGAATGAAAGCCAGCGAGAGAGCGGTCTAGAGAACACCAAGGGAATCCCACAGTGCTGCAGGAATATGCAGTTCTCTCCCCTCCCCTGCTCCCACTCCATTCCAGTCTGGGAGTGTCTTCCTCCCCCTGCCTGGGCCCAGCAGGGGGGACATTGAGTTCCTGTGCTTGGCTCCACAGGAACCCCTGCTGCCAGGTGGAGCAATTGCAAACTAAACAGTAATAAGTCACCAGGACCAGATGGTATCACCCAACAGTTCTGAAGGAACTCAAATGTGAAATTGCAGAACTACGAACTGTAGTCTGTAACCTATCATTTAAATCAGCTTCTGTACCAAATGAGTGGAGGATAGCTAATATGATGCCAATTTTTAAAAAAGGCTCCAGAGGTGAACCTGGAAATTACAGGCCAGTAAGCCTGACTTCAGTACCGAGCAAACTGGTTGGAACTATAGTAAAAAACAAAATTGTCAGACACATAGATGAACATAATTTGTTGAGGAAGACTCAACATGGTTTTTGTAAAGGGAAATCATGCCTCACCAATCTACTAGAATTCTTTGAGGGGGGTCAAAAAGCATGTGGACAAGGGGGATCCAGCAGATATAGAGTACTTAGATTTTCAGAAAGCCTTTGACAAGGTCCCTCAACAAAGGCTCTTAAGCAAAGTAAGCTGTCATGGGATAAGAAGGAAGGTCCTCATGGATCGGTAATTGGTTAAAATATAGGAAACGGAGGGTAGGAATAAATGGTCAGTTTTTCAGCATGGAGAGAGCTAAATGGTGATGTCCCCCAGGGGTCTGTGCTAGGACGAGTCCTATTCAACATATTCATAAATGATCTGGAAAAAGGGGTAAACAGTGAGGTGGCAAAATTTGCAGATGATACAAAACTACTCAAGATACTTAAGTCCCAGGCAGAGCTACAAAAGATCTTTCAGAATTGGGTGACTGGGCAACAAAATGGCAGATGAAATTCAATGATGATAAATGCAAAGTAAGGCACAATGGAAAACATAATCCCAACTGTACATATAAAATGATGGGGTCTAAATTAGCTGTTACCACTCAAGAAAGGGATCTTGGAGTCATTGTGGATAGTTCTCTGAAAACATCCACTCAATGTGCAGCAGCAGTCAAAAAAGCGAACAGAATATTGGGAATCATTAGGAAAGGGATAGATAATAAGACAGAAAATATCATATTGCCGCTATATAAATCCATGGTACGCCCACATCTTGAATACAGTGTGCAGATGTGGTCGCCCCATCTCAAAAAAATATATATTGAAATTGGAAAAGGTTCAGAAAAGGGCAACAAAAATGATTAGGGGTATGGAACAGCTTCTATATGGGGAGAGATTAATAAGACTGGGACTTTTCAGCTTGGAAAAGAGACAATTAAGGGGGGATATGATAGAGGTCTATAAAATCATGACTGGTGTGGAGAAAATAAATAAGGAAGTGTTATTTACTCCTTCTCATAAGACAAGAACTAGAGGTCACCAAATGAAATGAATAGGCAGTAGGTTTAAAACAAACAAAAGGAAATGTTTCTTCACACAACGCACAGTCAACCTGTGGAACTCTTTGCCAGAGGATGTTGTGAAGGCCAAGACGACTATAAGAGGGTTAAAAAAAGAACTAGATAAATTCCTGGAGGATAGGTCCATCAATGGCTATTAGCCAGGCTGGGCAGGGATGGTGTCCCTAGCCCCTGTTTCCAGAAGCTGGGAAGGGGTGACAAGGGGATGGATCACTTGATGATTACCTGTTCTGTTCATTCCCTCTGGGGCATCTGGCATTGGCCACAGTTGGAAGACAGGATACTGGGCTAAATGGACCTTTGGTCTGACCCAGTATGGCCGTTCTTATGTTCTCAACCCTAGGCTGGAGGATGCTCCATCACTGTGTGGAGATGGCACATGCGCAGTTTGGGTGCGCAGAGGCGCTGTGAGGGGAATGAGCAGGACTATCTGTGCTACCTATAATATGCAGAGCTCAGGCTTCCAAGAGTTCCCCAAGACAGCAGAACCTCTGCAGTGTGCCTCACTCCCTTTTTTGGTTCCCTGCTAGTTAGCATTGGAGTCCTCTCAATTAGGCAACAGTGGGTGCCGCATTGTGAGGTCATTGGGATGCTGGAGAGCCCTGTAATCAGCTCATTAGGGAATCAGTGAACATTAGGCACCAGAGTTGGCTTGCTCCACAGCATCCTGTTCTCTCTGCGCTCTTAGTGACGGGTATGAATGGCCCTGATCCCTCATGAGAGAAATCCTCCCTCCTGTCTTCTCCTTTACTGTACCTGCGATATATTTGTCCTGCACTGTTCACGCCGTAGACAGAGCCTTCGGTCCCGACCTCAATCATGGACAGCTTGCCTGGAACGTGCTCCCACCTGGATCCTGCACAAGAGTCCGGGGTGACATCAAACCGGAAATAGATATCATCAGCTGAGTTAACTCCCCAGCAGCCCCACAAACCACAGCTGTAGTACTTCAGCTTTCCTGCAATATTGACCCAGGGCAAGGCAGAGGCACCGTTCGCAGAGACCGCTGCTGGACGAGACAGACAGTAGATGTCATCATTCGTGTTGACACCAGCGACGAACATGTCTCCACCCGCGTCAATTTGCTTGAGCAGCCCTAAAAACAAACAAGGGAAAAACAATGTTCAGAGGAAAGAGCAGGGCTGGAGCAGCATGGAGAAAATAAGGAAGTAAACCACCTATTGAGAACTCAGCCAGAAATATAACTAGACACCAGGGGTGAGAGGTAAAGAGAAATCAGTCAGAGATGTGGGGTCTAGTGTTTGGAGTAGTGGCCTGAGATCAGGATTCCTGCGTTTGGTTGCCAGTCCTCTCCCAACTTGATTAATGGCCCTTGGAAAGCCACTTAGGGCAACAAGGGCCTGATTATAAGAGGTACTGAGCACCGAGAGCTCCCATTGACACCAGTGGGAGTCGTCAGTGCTTAGCACCCCTGGAAATCAGGACGTCTTAGTTAGGTGCTAACATTTGTGCACTCAGGTTTGGAAACATGGAGGTTAATCTCTCAGTGTCCGGAATATGGGGCCAATAAATGTTCCCGCCTCACAGGGGGCTTGTGAGTGTCAGGGCGTGTGTACACACTACATTGCACCAGTTTAAATGTCCCTAATTTAATTCAACTGCTGCCAAAGCCTGTGAGGACATTTAGTTTGCTTTATGAGTATCTGATTTCATTTCCCTTAAGTCGACTAGGCCTTGTCTACACAAGAAGATTGCACTGCTTTAACCAATGGTGTGAAGCCAGTGTAAACCCGTGTAGTACAAAGCCTCTACTGTGGGCTCAGTTATCTATATAATAAGATTTCAGGATTGTCACCTCTCAATGTGTCACTCTGAAGCCTAGAATGTCTAGATTGCACAGATTACTTGGTCCAACTGCCACACCTGTGTGATAGCCTGGGCTTTCAGCTACTAGCACTGGTCTGAAGGTGCTTATACCCAGAGGATATGCTGGTAAAAGGCACCTTTATACGGATATAACCCCAAGTGTAGAAAGTTATATGGATGTAGCTATTTTGGTAGAAAATCACACTC